AAAGCCAATCCTATCCATATTTATTTGACCAATGAACTTTCTAATTTACCAACTGGTCCAATTCCATATTTATTTGACCAATGAACTTTTTTATTTTACCAACTGGTCCAATTCCATCCATATTTATTTGACCAGTGCACATTCTAATTTACCAACTGGTCCAATCCCATCCAAATTTATTTGACCAATGAACTTTTTGATTTTACAAACTGGTCCAATTCCATCCATATTTATTTGACCAGTGCACATTCTAATTTACCAACTGGTCCAATCGCAGCCAAATTTAGCTGACCAATGAACTTTCTAATTTACCATCTGGTCCAATTCCATCCATATTCAGTTGACCAGTGAACATTGTAATTTACCAACTGGTCCAATCCTATCCATATTTATTTGACCAATGAACTTTCTAATTTACCAACTGGTCCAATCCCATCTATATTTATTTGACCAATGAACTTTCTAATTTACCAACTCGTTCAATCCCATCCATAATTACTTGACCAATGAACTTTCTAATTTACCAACTGGTCCAATCCCATCCATATTTATTTGACCAATGAATTTTTTTAATTTACCAACTGGCCCAATCCCATCCATATTTATTTGACCAATGAACCTTCTGATTTACCAACAGGAGCCAATCGCATCCATATATAGTTGACCAGTGAACTTTCTATTTTACCAATTGGTCCAATCCCATCCATATTTATTTGACCAGTGAACTTCCTAATTTACCAACTGGTCCAATCCCATCCATATTTATTTGACCAGTGAACTTTCTAATTTTAGAACTTCATCAATATTTGGTTGACCAAGCAATTTTACAAAATGCATATTACACGCCATTGATATGTAGATGCTGGGTCAACGTTCTTAAACTTTAGATCACTCCAAGACATTTATTGATTCCATAATCATATACTATATTGTATCCATTATGTGGTTTGGTAGATACAACTTCCACAACCATTGTTATTAACCACAACGTATGTTTTGGTAACCATTTATGATTGGCCTGTCAACTCACAACACGTGACTGGTTACACATTGTGAACCACCCACTACACGTCAGTGCCCATTGGATTTGCCTCTCAACCCACAATACATGGTTGGTTAATCCCGTCATCTCAGATCAAGATATAATGTACAACATTTTATTACAGCTATTATTCGGAAGAAGTGTTGTTTTAATATCAGAAGTGAATACATGTTGCATTTAATATTAATGTTTGAGTAATACAAATGACATAAGTTACAGTCACACTATGGGACTGTCTTACAATATTCTCAGTACACCCAGTATACAATAACACAATGGGGAGCACATTTGTGTCGATCATCAATTAATAACTATTAAGAGGTTTAGTAATTGTAAACTAAACAGTGCATCCTCGTTTTCAAATCCCTTTGACCTAATTCGATAAATGCCATAACAACGAAAAGTCTTACACAGAATGCACAACGATATTTTCCTGGTTGAATTTACCCTGTAGTTAGGTAAAGTTGTTGATTGGCAATTCATTAAATATAATTTCTACGAATGATTAATTTGTATAATATTTCAGTTGCATTATCCAAGTTTTTAGGGCAGGCCTAATGCCTTGCGCAATTTACTTATCTACCACTTTCTTTTTTTATTCTATTTTCTTTTTTCCAAATTGTGTCTTTTCGTTTTCTGGAATGGAAATATTGGTTCCTCGCATACGTCACATCTGGCCAAGCTGACGTTATTGTTGCGAATTAGCTTCTCAAGAACAGTAGAAAAAATGTGTTACATTGTATAATTAAAATCTGCTTTTTTTTGTTACTACAATCACTTAATCTTCTCGGTGGAGCCGTAGTAGATATATCTAGCAATTTCTCCGAATGTGTTGTCCAGCGTTTTGATGCTTTCCGCGTCGTATTCGTTGTTATGGTAACCATACCCCAGCTGTATAACGTGCATATGTGACCAGTCGCGTCGGCAACCATTCTTCCAGAGTTTACCCATGTCCCACCAGTCTGTCCATTCTGGTCGTGTCAAACAAATCCCTTCAATGTGTATTAGGTCAATATTTTCACTTGCTATTTCATACGGCATCTCTCTAGAGTTCAAGTACATTTGTGAGCCGTCGTAGAATTCGTAGGTATCATGGTAAAGTTTCATAAATTTCGAGTTTGGTGCTGCCAGCACGACACCATTGTTCAGGCCGTATATATCCAATCCCATGGTGCATTGCTCGCTTCGTAGGGGGTTCAAATTGTTCACTACTATAGCGTCTGGGTTCAAATAAATCCCGCCATATTCCAGTAAAACTTGTATTCTCGCGATATCAGACCTATGGTGAATATCTTCAATCGCGTTTCCGAAAATTTCCTTTGGCTGTTCTCGGTGAACCACTCGGAGAATTGTTTTCCCGCGTGTTTCGGCCATCTCTTTTGTGATTTCCCACCACTTTCCATTCGGTTCGGGATCGCAGTGAAAAATTATACTTTCCGCGTTTTGAACCGTGATGGCGCTTTTCACGCTCAAGAAATTGTGAAACTTGAATTCTTCTTTGGTGAACCAGACGTAGTGCACGATGTTGGGCACGATGAGAGTTCTAGTCGCATTGGGTTTAGACGGCCAATCCATAATTCGCAATTTTGGGCTTCCAAAATATGCGTTTCTTGCTAATTCCCCAAAAGTAGTATTTAAATATTGAATTTCATACTCGCTGTATTCTTTATTAAAATATTCATAATAAAGTTTAATTGCTAAATTATGTCGATGGTTCACGTGACCAAAAAATATATTTTCCGAGGTCTCGTCACCATCGATTTGGTCCCGACGACGAAATTTCTTATTTTCTATATAAACTAATTTTGAGTGTGTTTTGCATAGTTGCGCTAGCGTCATTAGGTTAACGCCAGTAGTTTCGTTATAATTTTCAAAGGTTCCCCACCATTTCTGTAGAAATTCATCGTTTTCCCGGGCCAACATTATGCCGGGATTGAGTCCCATGTTTTCTCGACCAATGACGAAGTCGTACCGACGAAGAAAGTCGAAGTTTTTTATTACAATGACGTCACTGTCCAGATAGATCCCGCCATACTTCAGGAGAGTTGTGATTCTCGCGAGAATCGCTTGGTCTCTTGGGTGTGTTATCGTTTTCCCGAACACTTCCGATGGTGGATCGGACTCTACAATTTCGAATTCTGTTAGCTCTTTTGCTTGATCCCAATACTGGTAAGAGAATGGTCCTAAATGTTCGGAAATCCTGTCTTTGTCGGTATGAAGAAGTATTTTATCGGGTTTTATAAATCTCTTAACACTCAGCAAGCTAAGAAAATGGTGAAGTTTGAACTCCTTCTCACCGTACCAAATATAATGAACGACATTTGGAACCACCATAGATTCCCGGGGCTCTGCCATCGCGGCCATCTTTGAACGCCCTCGTTCCCTAATCATTTGCGCCCTCTGTAGGATGTCTGCCATTTCGTTTTTCTGTAGAAGCTCAATAATGGCGTAGTCGATGGTAAACCAGAGTGGTACCACAATCATCAGTAAGATCACCACTGACAACACGATACATCTCCTCCCACCACACGTTATCTTCATCTTTCTCTGACCAATGAAAAAAAAGAAAGAAACAAATTTGCAATGATTGTTGTTTACGCATGCAATATGGATTCATGCTGTTTATTGGTGAATACATTGGATTATAGTTTGAGTGAAATAAACATCGTTGTTTTGCGTTACTTTATTTAATATTTGCTCGTTCAAACGTTGAAAATGCTGATTAAATCGCACGTACGCTGATTTGTACGTACACTAACAATCATGATTGGTACACAGGCACGAGTGTTAGTGTTTTAATGAAAACTATTTTGTGTATTGAAAAAACAATGTATGATGTCACCATGACATATTATCTGTGCCATAGGAACCCATAGTTAAAGCGTTATAATACTGACAAAATAGCTACTATTAACTAAAATACAAACATCATTTTCTCGAAAATTGAGCTGGTGACCCCAAACATTCTTTAAGCCAATACCATTATATTGCCCGAAACTTATAAATTTATTGGAAAATGGGTAAATTCCGGGTATTTGAAATCATGAGTAGGCTTCTACCTTAAGACATGTCATTCGTTGTCGATGACGCCCTCATGGTTAACCTCGGGATGCAATAAACTAGGATATACTTATAGTATCTAGAGCGGTCAGTAAAATGTATTAATTATTGAAAATATCAACACTCACCTCTGGATTACGTCAACCGTGAAAAAATGTCGTTATGTGTCCTATATATAGGTTTACATATCATAGCCAGTTCACCAGGGGGTTGCTGACTTAGCTAGATCTGTTGACGTGGCGAGCAAGTCCATAAAGTGACGACTAGGACAGTGAGTGTCACATCATTGTGATTTAGTAACCTTGACACATGGGCACCACAATGAGCTCATTGAGAAGACGCCAAATATTACGATCTTTCCCTCCGACAGAAAAGATTCTAGCAACTTTTTTTGCGGTCAAGCACCATTATAGGCCGATGAACTGATCTTTGCCCAGTACAGATAGTGGCATGGTTTGGGTTTAAATATTCATTGGGTCATTGGGTCTAACGGGCGTTAGACTTTAAACCGTTTTTTAGACATGCGCCACCTATATGTTGTGTATGCGTGTCCGGCAACTGGTCGTTCATGGAGTTATACCAATGAACTAAAATTGTCTAAAACGTATGCATTGTCAAATACATTTCTGTTTTGCGCGCGTGTATGTTTTTAAAGTGGAAATGGCGTTTTACATTTAATCCGTGTCACAGAAATTATTGTCACCAGTGATAAGCAGGCAAACGTGGCCACACGATGAAAAACCTTCGAGCACGCCCTCTGTTGGTAATAGTGACTTTACAAGTAGACCTCTAGGTGGCGCCAGCATATATATTTTAGAGGGTCACGGATTTGCCAAGGACACTATCAAACATTACACGTCGACACATGAGATACAAAGATACGACGGAACAATAAAGGTCATCAGATTATAATTTATTTTTAAAATCACTTCATCGTTTATCTCGGGTAGCAGTACTTTGTAAGATTTGTACATTCGAAACGAGATTACATCATATCATTGTACAGTAAGTTTACAAGTTAAACTGGTGCAACCATTTTACCAGTTCAAAGAACGTCTTTTCGGTCCTTCGAACAAATCCCCCCTCTTCAAACAGTATTGTAAAATACAGGCCAGTGTGAACAGATCAACTTCTGAAATTTTCTGAAGTAAGATGAAATTCCTAAAAAATTGAAAAATATATTGTCTATTTGTCTAAAAACACTTATTGACTCTTCAAAAACATTTATTTATCTAACCTGTATCAAGAATATTGAATTACGTGCACCTACTAATTAAAACATGACGTCACACTAAAAGTATTATCAACTGGGAGTGTTTTATTTGCCATATATATTTAGACAAACGCCGCTTTACGTCATGTCTTGCATCACCAAAGCGGACGCACTTAAATGACAGTTAAATGACATAAAACAAAAAACGATATTCAGTCACATTCTTGAAGCTCTACTAAGTAGTGAAAACAATGACAATTGCGCAAACAATTTTGAATCATGACATCACTGAATATTCTGTAAGATTGAGAATAATTAAAATGTTAAAATTTCTATTTATTTTTGTGTGTGTCACATACACACACAAAATTAAATGAAAATTTTAACAATATTGTTTCATTATTTCCCATATTGTAATAAATACATTTGAGTGAAAGTTTTAAAATGCTGCAATACATCAGATAAAAGGAAAACAAATGCCCAGTAGGTCAGGTTTTAGAAACGAATTTGAATAGTTGTTTTCTCTTGATTTAATTCTACTTTGTACACGTCTAAAACATTTACAAATACTCTTGACTTGAATATGGCTATCTTTGTGCATATGTTTTGATTTGACATAATCCTAATATTCAAGTCAAAAGTATTTGTAAATGTTCATATACCACTCCGGACAGAATGGTATATGAACTTGTTATGTTACCATGGATAATAGTTTACACACGACCACTCGAATATAACCACGCTTCATTATAACTAATGTATGTATTTATAAATATCACAAGATCCTGGCTGATAGGCCAGTTACAGGTGTCTAAATATTTCCAGCCAATTCAAAGAAGGTCATAAAAATGAGTACTACTAATATATACATTCATTGCGGTAACTCCGTTTTGATTACAGGAAGTCTTAGATCAGGACGAATGGAAGTGTCGAGTGCAGTGTGTAAATGTAACATAACGCATGAGCCCTGATAAAACAAATCCAAAGATCAAATGACAGTGGTTCTACTGTGTTATTCACAAAGTAGCAAATACAAAAGTTGTAACAGACTTGAAAGCAACCAGGACGGAGTTACTACAACTGATGTAAGTATCTACACTTTTTCTGATACCTTAGTGACTATCTATTTGTGTTTTTTATTAGAATTTCTTGAATTATTGAATATCAAGAGCATATAACGTGAGAACAGTGTTGGCAAACGGAATGCTTATTACAGAAAGTTGGTGTTGTAGTTTAAAATGTATCATTTCAACATTATTTCAAATTTACCCCCTGCTCTTCGTCGTGCATTTCTACATCTGTCGTGACTATACACCTAGACTATTTTCTCCTGTACGTCATTAATTGTATTCGGCTTATCTGCCTCATCCACCATTTTCTCGTTGTCCCTGATGTCTGTATCATCGTGCGTTTTTTCTTCATCTTTTATTGGATCGGCTTGAGCTGCTTCGTCCATTTTTTTCTCTTTATCTCTGATTTCTGCATCATCTTGTGCTAATTTCTTTTCCATCGCTATTTCTTCTTCGCCTTTCGCTTGTTCATCCTCCTCCTCGGATCTCTGCTTGGCAATCTCTGTTTCCCCTTCTCCTCGAACCTCCACATCCTCAGTTTTCTCTCCATCTACCTCGCGAATGTCTTCTTTTTCATTCTCTTCGCCTTTTCTACCCAAATCTATTTCTTGAACTACTTCGTTATTCGCATGCTTATCATGTGGATGACCCACTTCACGAATATAATTCTCATCTTTTCTAGCTGCCATTTCTTCATCTGCCAACTTCTCTTTTTTCCCACCATCCTTTTCAAGACGATGTTCATGTCCATCTTCTTTGTAGAATCCTTTCTCGAATTGTTCTATGTCAACGCCCTCTGTGATGATTTCCGGACTACCGAAGTACACTAGTCGCGCTATCTCTCCAAACGTTGTATCCATGTCCAATATATCTTCTGGCTCGTATGTCTTGTCGTGATAGATCCATTTAAGCTGTATCGTCAGGGAGTGAGACCAATCCCTCTTCCCGTTCTCTCTCCACAATCTAGCCATGTCGAAAAAGTCTGTCCAATCAGGCCGAGTTAGACGGATTTCTTCGACGTTAAGACTGTCTGGGTGATCAGCACCGATGTGGTAAGGTTCCATAGCCGAGTTGAAGTGTTCTTCTGCATCATTAAAGAACTGATACGAGTCGTGATAAAATCGAAGAAATTCAGCATTCTGTTCAGATAAAATCACCCCATTATTCAACCCATATACATCCATCCCCATGGTGAACGGGAAATGACGGATGGTGTCGAGGCTTTTCACAATTAAAGTATCCTCTTCTATGAAAATTCCGCCATACTTGAGCAATGCGTGTAATCGGGCAATATCGGAACGATGGTGAAGCTTCGGCAGTGCTCGGCCGAATGCCTCTGTCGGCTGTTCTTTGTACATGACGCTGAGTTTGTCACCCGCCATTTTTTTAGCCTTGTCCCACCATTTACCACGTGGTTCAGCATCCGTGTGAAACATTATTGATTCTGCTTTCTGTATGTGAAGGGCGCTCTTTATACTGAGGAAGTGGTGGAACAGAAAATCGTGATCAGAGAACCAAACGTAATGAACAATATTGGGAACAACTAAGGGTTTTGTTTCCTTGGGTGGCCAGTCTTGTTTGAATTCTGGTGCCCCATAGTAAGCATATCGAGCCAATGCACCATATGACGAATTCACGTATTTTATGTTTTGTCCTGTATTTTCATGATAGTATAGTTCATAGTAAAGTTTAACTGCATAGTTTCCGAAGTGATCAATTTTTGCCAAGAAGATATTATTACTATAGTCGTCATTCTGAAAGTTGTCATGGCGACGAAACTTTTGCGCTTCGACATGAATAGTTTCCGGGTGTTTAGAAATAAGCCAATACAGATTATCTTCTGCAGATCTCCGATCCGAGCCGTACTTTTCAAAGGTTTTCTCCCATTCATCCAGAAACACGGTCTTGCCTTTGGCGAGCATTACCCCTGTGTTGAGCCCGGTTTTCTCCCGACCAATCACGCACGCGTACTTACGAAGCGGGTCGAACGAATCAATGACGATGACATCATCGTCCAAGTAGATGCCACCGTATTGTTTGAGTATTTGAATACGTGACAAATAGTGTTGCGATTTTCGATCTAGCGTCAGATTATTGATTGATTCAGTAGGGGTGAAATGTACAACCTCCAGGCCTGGAATGCTTTTGGCCTCTTTCCACATTCCGCCGCTTCCCACTCCTTCCTGAAAATCCATATTATCAGTATTGATCATTAATTGTACGTTGGTATGAAACATGATCTTTTCTGGTTTCAGAAATCTCTTAGCACTCGCTAGACTAACTAAATTGTGAAATTGAAACGGTCTTTGTCCTATCCAAATATAATGTACTATGTTAGGAACAACGTTTTCTTGATAGGGCTGCAACTCGTCAGCGAATTCACCTTTTTTGTGGTTTTCATACTGCGTCTCGCGTTCACGTCCCGCCTGCTGGAGTTGACGAGTATTGTCTCTTTGTGTCTCGCTCATTTTTTCCTTCTCAAGCTTACCGAGATGAGGAACACTTCCACTGAAAGTGAAGTACATCCCCAATGCCGCTGTTATTAGAATCAACCCCATCCATAGTCCATAACTCTGGGACGACATGTTTGGTTATCTGAGTGGAGGAAACAAATAACAGCTGGTAAATTAAGAATACATATTTCAACAGAAATCTACACACGATTGTTGATAACTCGTAAAATGTGATTTTAAAATAATTGATTTTCAAGAAAATTTCTAATCATACAAGTCAAAGCATGAAACAGTCCCAGTCCGTTTTCAGTGTAAGGTCATATTAGCATATAGTTCCATGACAAACATTACAAATATGACTACCCAACAGCACTCATTAAAACACGTCTATCAATGGAATAACATAATAAAAACAAGATAGTTTTAATTTTTTCTTGTAAAACTGAATTTCATAGCTCGTTATATGATTCTGTTATTGCTAGCGCTAATAAGTCTGCGTCAGATTTACTATTGATGACATGCATAGAACAGTGGGAAACGAATTGCGACTAATGCAAACAGCGCCCTCTGCTGACAACTCACGTCCACACAGGCCCATGCGTCAGCTGTCGTTGTTCTGTTGTTTATTGACTATGTAAGAAGTCTAAAACAGAAGATTGGTGAGGACTCCAAGACTAGTAGCAGTCGGGACGATTCTTTTTAAAACATTGGTGTAATTTTCAATTTAAACAAATCACGGTGATTGGGGATGTCGCGCCGAATGGGGTATTTAGCGGAAATATTTCTTTAACTCACTTGAGAAGTTGAGACAGTAAAAATGTAATCTCCTCGACCGTAGCCGATTTAGAGGACTCCCTCCCGATGAGTCTGTCGTTTAGTTTTCGGGATGTTGTCACTAACTATCCTGCCAGTGAATGGCCCTACGTCTACGCGTGCCTTAAATACACTTTTGAGCTAGGATATGTGTATATTTATCCTCCCTCCCCACAATTATATCTAAACTACAGGGTACAACTGTCCGCCGCTTATTAAAATGATGCTTTATATGTGTTACTATCAGCACCAGTATAACCATCGTGTGAACTGAGTCAACATTACTGAGTCCATAGACGTAAGTTGGTCATAATCAGTGCTTTGATTCCAAGGAGGCGTGTACGGTGTCCGTCGCTTACGTAAATCACTGGGAGATGCAAATATAACTGGTGTTTCAACTGCACTGATAAACTTGAATTTCGGCCATCCCCAGGGTCGTGTATCGCCACCTATGCACAACCACCCAAATTAGATGCTTAAACTTCACTACTGAACAGCGAGGCCAAAGGCAGCGACATTACCGTACATAAAGCATATTGATTGTTGGGGGGGGGGGTTCGTTAAAGTGTAGCGGCTACTATAAAAGTTAGAAATCTCAAATAAACAGTGGTCTTACCTGCTGTTATAGCTAATTCTTGTCGATATGGAAATGTTTTAAAGCTTCACATCGCTAGCTACGTACTGCGTCCGCCATTTGTAACACGACAGCACGTTATGTGGCGTATAGAGTTAACTATTAACCAATCTTGAGTCCACGGCGTGACCTCGGTGTGTTTACTGCTTCCCACAATGTAACAATCGAATGCAAGTTGAGGGGCCTAAAGTGCATTGAAATGCCATCGATTGTGTGTTTTTTTCCGTAAACTGGACGTCCTTGAAACGGTCTATCTTATCAAGTTACGCACTGTGTACCCTACCATGTATAGGTCAAATTGAAGGTCAAGACGATTGTTTTGTAATGAGGAAGCAACAAATATATTACTGAAATTTTTTTCCGGCAGTGATTTGATCGGGCCCGGGTACATGTATATTGAATTCGTTGTATTATGTTGAACCCGTACCGGTTCTAGCATAAGAAATATTAACACTGTCGTGCAAGTTTTGCTCATAATATAAAGATAATGTCTTCTAGAGAATACAACGTTGTTTATACAAATAAATAAATATGAAAACACTATAAAATTAATTCGGCCATTGTACCTTTCTGTGTGGTGAACGAGGAGTAATAATATAGCGTAGCCTGCCCATAGTAGCAATAATTTAAAATTACCGTGACCACTGTCTACGTATGCAGAAATGAACATTCAATTATTAATTATTAATGATCAATTTTGTATTAACTCAAATATTGTTTACAAATCCGTGACAACTGTGTAGAATAGTTTACGTGGAATATACATAAAGTGACGTTGTTTCAAGTTGACGATTTTGTAAACAAGTATGCCCACTTGTTTGCATGTTTGCGTGGAATTGCATTTGATAAAAAAAGGGCCGCCAATCGGTCATTTTCAAACCAATCTGAAAAAAATACCTACCGGAATCGCAGAAATTCTTGAATTTGATGAATTTTTTTAGCAATAAAATGGCCGCCATTCGACCATCTTAAATTGAACGAACGCTTGTACGTACGAACGCGTGAATCAGGAAAATGCCAACCAATTAGAGAGCACATTGCGCTTTAGAGATTACCCAAATCATGTGGTTTGTACAAACAAATACATGTTCGACTTTTATGTATTCATTTTTCTTCTTTAATCTCCAAATTGCGGAGTAATTTAAAAGAATAGTAGTTTTTTTGTCAACAGTATATAGTCATAGTATATAATCCCCATCACCTTGAATGTCAGTGATTATATTCCTAAATAATTTACAGCAAGTTTAGCATCTCTATAAATTGTTTTTCGCCAAAAGTAAATTAAGTTGACATTCTGGTCATACATTGCAAAACGTTATTTGTTTTGTATTTATAAACTTTCATTGAAATTTGCGTTAAAATTAACATCTTACATACCTGGTTTGTACATTACAAATTACGTTACATATAATTGTGAAGTGGGCTTGAAAACATTTTTCACAAAATATCCCCATTTTTTTATTATGAGAGGTCAACCTATTCTGTCCAGGAAATATTTTACATATCTTTTGTATGCCATTAATTCTGGCTTTTGGTTTTTATGACTACACAAATAAATATAACTTTTTGCTACCAGAAGGGGGAAGTTGACTAAACATGTAAAATTTTCATCCCCGAAAAGGAGCAAAACGTACTTTTGGGAAAAAACAAATACAGCTGGTGTTGAAATTTTGCTCTGTTCCTTCCTCCCATAAAGGGTGTTCTGAATATGATGGGCTAAATACCATTATGTGTTCGTGCGTGCGTTAAACGTCCCCCAAGAACAGTTCGGAATAAATAAACTCGGACTGAATGATCTTGAAATCTCAAAATAGGATCTATCGTCCTACTGACACATTTTAAGTGACCTTAATACGTATTTCTGAATAATTTAATCAATTCTCAAAATGACTCTGACATTAATGAAGCCATAAATGAGAAGGAAACAAATCTTGGACAAAATTTAAAATGAAATTAAAATATCAATTTGATCACTCAAAAAAATGAGGCACCAGCAGACGACAGAATGAGAAACGACTTATTTATATATATATATATATATATATATATATATATATACAAACAAAAACTGTTTTCTTGTCCTAAGGAAATGCGTTTGATAGTGTAGAACACGAAGGTCTACATCTATTAAAATAACTGAATTTTGGAGTTACAGGTAAGCTATATAACACAGAATCTTTTCAATCTAATTTAGGAGTTGAACAAGGCTGTAACCTAGGTCACACACTTTTTAACCTCCTTAAAAAGGATATCCCAGAATTAGATAATTCAAATATATGCAACCTGCCAACATTCTGTATGCTATAGATACTGTTATCCTTTCGTAATCAGAGAGTGGCCTACAATTTAGCCTAAACCAACTCTCAACAACGCAACAATTAAACACAAAAAGGAAAAAGTATGCAGTGGTTTTTAATTGATTAAACAGACCGCAGAATAACAATATTTTTTCGTCGATAGAAAATAAATTAACGTCACAAAAATGTAAATTAGTTAATGGAGAGTAATATATAATATATACAAAAACTGTTTTCTTGTCCTAAGGAAATGCGTTTGATAGTGTAGAACACGAAGGTCTACATCTATTAAAATAACTGGATTTTGGAGTTACAGGTAAGCTATATAACACAGAATCTTTTCAATCTAATTTAGGAGTTGAACAAGGCTGTAACCTAGGTCACACACTTTTTAACCTCCTTAAAAAGGATATCCCAGAATTGGATAATTCAAATGCATGCAACCTGCCAACATTCTGTATGCTATAGATACTGTTATCCTTTCGTAATCAGAGAGTGGCCTACAATTTAGCCTAAACCAACTCTCAACAACGCAACAATTAAACACAAAAAGGAAAAAGTATGCAGTGGTTTTTAATTGATTAAACAGACCGCAGAATAACAATATTTTTTCTTCGATAGAAAATAAATTAACGTCACAAAAATGTAAATTATTTAATGGAGAGTAATTAATTTAATTAATCATCCAAATTAAAAATTCAAAGCAACTATATAGAAGATAAACTGTGATATAAATAAAACACAAGCAGCCAGTCGGCTGAGATAGCTCCGCTGTTAGCAATGCACATTTCAATTAAAAAACAGAAGATATCATTAAGAAAATGAACAATATGTAGACTTGCTATTTTCAACAAGAAAAATATCACTTCTCACCAAAAATGACAAAAATAATCATCAAAATTAGATAATTGAAGATATCACTACGAAAGTAACAAATCTGAAAGAGGTCCACATGTAGTATCTATATATGTAATATAAAAGCAATCAGACTTGTGGTTTTTAACAAGAAGTCGAAAATATCACTTTTTACCAAAAATATTCATCAAAATTAGAGAATTGAAGATATCATCACGAAATGAACAAATCTGAGAGAGGTCCACATGTAGTACCTATATATGTAATATAAAAGCAATCAGGCTTGTGGTTTTTAACAAGAAGTCGAAAATTTTTACCAAAATTTTTACCACTTTTACCAAAAATTACAAAAATATTCACTAAAATTAGAAAATTAAAGATATCATCACGAAATGAACACATCTGAAATAGGTACACACGTAGTACCTACCGGGGGTATATATGTAATATCAAAGCAATTGGACTTGCGGCTTTTAACAAGAAGTTGAAAATAACACTTTTTACCAAAAATGACAAAAATATTCACCAAAATTAGAGAATTGAAGATATCATTACAAAATGAACAAATCTGAGAGAGGTCCACATGTAGTACCTATATATGTAATATAAAAGCAATCAGGCTTGTGGTTTTTAACAAGAAATTGAAAATATCACTTTTTACCAAAAATAACAAAAATATTCACCAAAATTAGAGAATTGAAGATAAGATCATGAAATGAACAAATCCGAGAGAGGTCTACCCAAGGTACATATACACCAAGTATCAAAGCATTCAGGCTTGTAGTTTTCAAGAAGAAGTCGAAAAGGTAAAACATTGACACGGATGACGGACGCAGGACGACGGACGACAGACGACGACGGACAACGACGGACAATCACTCATATGATAAGCTCCGCTCGACAAAGTCGACAGCGGAGCTAATAAAAAGATTACTTTCTCTTTTTGACAAAATTATTCGCTATGGCTATACCGCAGACTGCCCCATATAATGTCCATGGGTATAACTTTAACTAGTATATGTAATTTCGCTAATTCAAGATTTCGTTAATTTAAAATAAAGTATATTCTCCCAATGAGATTGTTGGAACTTGGCTAAATTGAGATTCTGTGGATACATGCATTGATTGAACCAAGTTTGCTAAAAATGTATTTAGCTATTTCAAAGTCTTTTACAGAATTGACGACGTTTATGGAACTAAAAGGTTAGGAATGTGTTTGTAACACGTTAGCGGTAACTTTCACTGTACCACGTGGTTGGCGATTCCAAGTGGGGATGATTTCAGGTGGAACACGCCGTCAATGTCTGACCATTACAATCTGGGTCGGGGCAAGAGGTCGCCAGACTGTGGGGCAACAGGTCATCAGATTATGGGACTCAACGGTGACCATAGTATACGATAGATGACGTATAACTATAATTGTCCACGGCATGTGAAAGGTGGCTTCATCCTCTGGGGCCTAGGTGAAATGGTCTACAGGTCTATCACGGAGGTTGGGTAGGCAAAATCGAGACATTGACACAGGTTTCGTGAATATTTTGTTGCGTGGACGGCAGCTTAACATAACAAAATTTGGACTCGTACGTAGAAATATGAAATAATCCATAACTTTGGATGAGATAGAGGAGGGGGGGGTTATTTCTCTTTATGAATAACAAAATACAATTTCATAAACATGGGGTTAAAGAGCAGAAAACTCTCCTGGTAAACAAGTTGACTTCACGATGATGCAATGTATAGTGGAAAAAAGACAAACATGTTTTCATGTACATGTGTTTACATACTCATTGAGGTCAGAGAGTCGAGCCATTCGGTGATCACGCACGTGTCACGTTTATACACGGGGCGGCTGGGACCGGGACTTTGCATGAAATCAAATCACCGAACCTCAATTTTGTAAATGCGTTAATTATCCAATGGGTTTTAATTTTGCTATTTTCATTAACAGGAAATATTGGCTAAAATAAACCTATGTACAATTGTAATATCGCTCCTTGTTTCATTTCCAAATGCGTAATTTAAAAGTCTCCGTGAATATGCTCGAAATAGGTAAAAATGGTGATATTCAATCTCAACAAAAATTAATCTTACAGTATATTTTGTTTAATCATTTATACACCACTTGGGTTTCAAACATTTTAATGATCGTTGTTTCCATTTCACACAATAGCATATAGTGACAAAAAACAACACAATGCGCATTGACAAATTTAATTTTAATATCGGGTAACAATCTCAGTTCGACATAATCTTTAAAAAATCATTTTCTAACATGGACAGCAAATACATCATCCCATTCGTATAATTAACATCAAGAATAGTTACTCTCAACGCAATAAAAGCATCCCTTCATCTTTATAAATATTTATAAATTACAATCTTTCAACGTTATTCAATCAGCCATTTGAAACTTCTCGTTTTAGTTTGAATTGAAATGTATAAATATTGATGAAGATGAAGGAAATGTTTTCAAAGCGTTGAGAGTATGAGATCAATTAATTGATAAAACATATTAATTAATCTTAATTATTGCTGGTAACACTCTCTTAGATTTTTACTGAAAATAAATATTTCAGTTTCCTAAAGTTATACTAAATATAAATCATTGATACTAAAATGTTCGATCACTGTGCGGACTACCACGTCATGTACGTACATGTGTATGTAAATCGTCGTAGGTTACGTTTTTGTCATGATAGATCTGATAAGCATTCCGACGTTGCCATGGGAAAAACAGTAGCACTGGTCGCGCCACCAGTTCAGATAACAAGTGGTACTCCTGTTTCACTGGTGAACATGAAACCTCTCCAGTAATACGGGCCTGACTAACACTACGTGTCCCGACTGGCCAGGGAATGTAAAACCTATCTCAGAACCTACGAAATATATGTTTTTTTATCTACATCGTCATCGTTCCATGCGTTGAGTAGATTGTTATGAGACCCACATAAAGCAGAAACAATATTTTCTTGGGGTGAGATATAAATAGTTGGTACTCGTGCCAGCCATAATTGCTTGGTCGCTAAATTTGGTATTTATTATCTACAAATACATGGTAAATTTGTCAGTATAGCTACGCCCATAGCTATGAATTAAACGTCAACAATGGATCGCACATTAATTCAGGCGAGCCATAGTAAATCCATCTCGCAACTTCGCCAAAAGTGTCATCGAAACATCTAATTTCCTCTGGATTATGCTCATTTCCATGGTAACTGTAAATCCAGTGAAACGCGAAAGCGTGTGACCAATCGAGTTTTCCCTCATGTCGCCAGGCTCTTCTCATGTCCCACCAGTCTGTCCAATGGGGGCGCGATATCCCAGATGTCTCAATATGGATGTGATCGGGGTGTTCGGCTGCCAGACGATACGGCTCCATCACGGAGTTCCAGTTCCATTGAGCGTCGTCGAAGAACTTGTAAGAGTTGTAGTAAATGTTCAAAAACGTCGAGTTCGGAGCCGAGAGGATAATTCCGTTGTTGAGTCCCACGATTTCCATTCCCATGGAGTAAGGGTAGTACAACAATGGCTCCATGTTTTTAACTATCATAGTGTCCGAATCAAGATATATACCACCATGCTGCAGTAAAATTTGCATACGGGAGATGTCCGATTTATGTGGGATGTTTCCAACGCCATGACCAAAAACTTCATTGGGCTGATCACAGTGGACCACTTCAAGTATTGGACCGGCGATTCGTTTGATCTCCTCCCACCAGAACTGACCAGCTGGTTCGGCGTCGGTATGAAACAGTATCCGGTCTGCTTTCTGGATGTGAACGACGCTCTTCACTCCTAAGAAGTGGTGGTAGCGAAATTCGTGAGGCGTGAACCAGACATAGTGGATTATATTCGGTACTACTTTTTTAGCGCCGCGCGGTGGCCGCCAATCCGTTACACCGAGAGTCGGGCTGGCGTAGTAAGACAAGCGTGCCATTGCCCCAAACGATGAGCGTAGTGATTTGATCTCTTCTGGGTTGTATTCTTTCTCAACCATACCGTAATGCAGCTTTACCGCGTAGTTATCGCTAAGGTCAATTTCCCCGTGAAACAGATTTCCGTAATCTTCGGGACCCTTCCAAGCATCTCTGCGACGAAATCCGTTCTCTTCGACGTGCACAAGTTCGGGATATTGCATGGCAACGTCGAAAAGCGCATCTTCTGGCTCAAATCGGTTGGAGTCCGGCTCGTGAGACCATTGATACCATTTTTCCAAGAACGGAGCTTTGGGTCGAGCTAAGACAACTGCGGTGCTAAGACCGTAGTCTTCTCTTCCTATCACAAACTCAAAATGACACAACAATTCGAATGATTTCAAAACAATGACGTCAAGATCCAAATATATTCCACCGTGGTCCCGAAGCATTTCCATCATGACAGCGAGTTTCAAATAGTGTTTACTTTGGTAGTCTCGTTCCGAGCGATATTTAGGTCCATCCCAAGGCACAATTTTGAAATTGGGGATGGTCTTGGCTTCTTTCCAATACTGAACTGAATCTGCATCTGTGTGTTTTTCCATATCCCTCACGTTGGTGTGAAACCATATTTCTTTGGGGCGAATGTGGCGAAACGCCGACTTGATCGACAGCAGATGATGGAATTTAAAGGATCTCTCTTCCAACCAAATAAAGTGGACTACTTTCGGAACAACTATTGTGTCGGACTGTGGCATCACCATATCACTCAACTTGTCATCCTTTGGACGACTACGTGACAGTGCCCCGGCAACAAAATCCTTGCGCGTTTCCTCCTCTTCAAACTCCGGGGTATCCGGTTTGATCACGTGCCGAAATAGAAGTACAAAGACGAGAATCCCCATTAGCGCAAGTACAAGGCGCATCCCCCGTACTACCAGTTTTCTGCTTGCCATTGTGTGTGAAACTGTTTAGCTGACCAACTGAAACGAGAAAAGGGGGAACAATAAGATGGACTTAGTAAGCCTAGATTACTACTATACAGTGCGCATGTCCGTGGCATAACCTTCAAGAAGTTTTCAGAAGAGATATTCTCTTTCATAGAGCAACATTTGCACTTTAGTGAGAACCTTGAGGTTTCTTTCCTGATTTTAATTTTTTGGGAGGCTTTGGAAACACTGTAACGTTTAATCATGTCAATTGAGACGCCTATACGCATATCGCCACATTTTCGGATCCGGTCAATAACGTTGTCATAGGTTACTAGTTATATATGGTAATCTGAAAACGTCGAGAAAGAAAAGCAGTTTTATAATTATCTTATTTTTCTGGTAGTCAATTATAAATAACTCCCCTAATTTCATTTTTAATCAGAGTTTTATACAACTTAAACCAAAGATACGTTTCTCATCGATACTATTTAGTAAAGCCCCCACCCCAAAAAAACAAAAAAAAAAACAAAAAAAAACAACAAAACAACAACAATGTTTCCATAGTTAACCATGCAGGGAGAAATATTTATGAAACGAGGGAGAACTTTTGTGAAACAAGGGGGAACTCAAGGTTGTTTTCGTAAATTCTTGTTGTTCACATCACGCCACGCATCTCGAGTTACGGACGGATCACAATGCCACGACCCAACAATGGCTTATATGTTAATTATTAATTTGAATATTGTTTACGGACCTCGCGTTATCTTGTTTAACTAACTTAGGCGGCAAACAATAAATCATAAAGTAAAGCAGACGACGAACTGAAGCTGTTTTTATCGTGACGTTGGACGATGAAGAGAATGGAGTCAAACACGGGGTCAAAGTTCGTTTGACACAAACATGATCCCTGGTGTTCAATAGCTTGGTTGCATTCGGGGTCGTTAGCAGGGACGTTCGCCCGGATAACGATGATTCTGAAATCCCACAGACACCAGTTACCATACAGTGTGGTTAGTCTAACTAGACTAAATTTATAATTATTATCGTGTCAATTTTGTTCAAACTCGTGATCATAAATTGTGCATCAAATTCTAAAGTGACAAAAGCTGTGACAAAAACTAAATATACATTTTATCTTATTTTTGAAAATAAACGCAGGAAAATGTTGACTATGTTATAACATTTAACCCTTTGAATATAATTTTACTCACTTAAGAGAGATCAAGCGATTTTCTGTAAATCATTAACTTTTGCGTTCGCGTTTACACTTACCTCAAATAAATCCACGATTTTAGTTACGTTCAGATTATCGACAAACTATTGCAACTCACAGTTCCCAATTACAGACCAAAACATCATAAAACAAATCTGCCCAGTATATACGTACCGGTAACTTGGGACAATGAGACCAGAGGAACCAGGTACGCAGTGGTGTAGTCAATGGATGGTGTTTACTCGCCACAGATGGGATGGCCCTCTAACACATGTATGTTGGACCCCCTAACTCGATCATATTTCGCAAAGTATGTTGTGTGCAACGCGATGTGCAGGAAAGTCTGTACAATTTATTTACTTGGCCGAATTTTGAAATCTACAAAACAGAAAATCAGGCCAGAATATGTGTTTATGTTATTCGGGCTGCCATAGGTCATTATTCACGCACATGAATTATTTACTCTGTGTGGCATAATTTAATACAACCTAAAACACGGTCTATTATACAACGATCGTTCGAAATAAACTCGGGGCAATTACGTCGAACATACATTGGACAAGGACGCATTAATCTATTTCAACATTCAAGCTTAGATTCAAGACAAGGCAATTAATCCTTGAGTCACTATTACGTAATGACTGTCATTTTGATGTAGATTGCGATGTCTTCCAGTGTTATTTTTCCACACCATAAAAATTGATCGTGTTGTCAATAAGCTTTGAAGGTCAGCACGAGGTTAGTTAAAAACGAACGATTTGGAAATATGAGCCACATCATTGTTGGCGCTGTTCTTAAAATCTGGTGACACGAGTCTAGCATCTAAATGAATAAGACTAACATTACTGAACATATTTGACAATGCATTTAAAAAAATCAAATTTAGATCCACAAATGTATCTTGGCAAATTTGGCACAGAGCAACTATACAAAGTTAAACAGCGATATTTGACTGTAAACAATATGATGGGCCTGCTGTTCAACCTTAAAATGTTAGTACTGTATGTATATCACTCATGAGGCATACGAGTGTCATACACAATATGACCAGAAACCAGTACCACCACATGAAGCATAGGAGGGTCAAATGCCAGGTGACCAGACACTATCACATGAAGAGTAGGAGGGTCATGCACCAGGTGACCAGACACCACAACAGGATGTGTGGGAGGGTCACACACCAGGTAACCATATACCACACATAAAGCATGGGAGGGTCCTACAACAGGTGATCAGACACGATCACATGAAGAGTAAGAGGGTCATGCACCAGATGACCAGATACAACAAGATGCATGGGAGGGTCATATGCCAGATGACCAGATACCACCACAGGATGTGTGGGAGGGTCACACACCAGGTGACCAGATACAACAAGATGCATGGGAGGGTCACACACCAGGTGACCAGATACAACAAGATGCATGGGAGGGTCACACACCAGGTGACCAGATACAACAAGATGCATGGGAGGGTCACACACCAGGTGACCAGATACCACCACATGAAGCATAGGAAGGTCGTACGCCAGGTGACCAGATACCACACATAACGCAAAGGAGAGTCATACACCAGGTGACCAGATACCACCACATGAAGCATAGTAGAATCAGGTGACCAGATATGACAGGATGGTCACACACCAGGTGACCAGATGACACACATAAAGCATAGGAGGGTCACACACCAAGTGACCAGATACCACACATAAAGCATAGGAGGGTCACACACCAGGTGACCAGATACCACACATAATGCATAGGAGGGTCACACACCAGGTGACCAGATACCACCACATGAAACAAAGGAGGGTCACACACCAGGTGACCAGACACCACAACAGGATGCATGGTAGGGTCACATACCAGGTGACCAGACACCACAACAGGATGCATGGTAGGGTCACATACCAGGTGACCAGACACCACAACAGGATGCATGGTAGGGTCACATACCAGGTGACCAGACACCACAACAGGATGCATGGTAGGGTCCTCTGCCAGGTGACCAGACACCACAACAGGATGCATGGTAGGGTCCTCCGCCAGGTGACCAGACACCACAACAGGATGCATGGAAGGGTCCTCCGCCAGGTGACCAGACACCACAACAGGATGCATGGTAGGGTCACATACCAGGTGACCAGACACCACAACAGGATGCATGGTAGGGTCACATACCAGGTGACCAGACACCACAACAGGATGCATGGTAGGGTCACATACCAGGTGACCAGACACCACAACAGGATGCATGGTAGGGTCCTCTGCCAGGTGACCAGATACCACAACAGGACACATGGTAGGGTCCCTCCGCCAGGTGACCAGACACCACAACAGGATGCATGGTAGGGTCCTCCGCCAGGTGACCAGACACCACAACAGGATGCATGGTAGGCTACCTCTTACCATGAGTTGTTAGCCAGCAAAGGGCAATTGTCTGTAAATACAATGTACTGTAAAAGGGTTAATTATTCACTGGGTTTTAATTTTGCTTATTTCGCTGACTGAGAAATGCGCTAAATTAAAACCCAGTGAATATGTAAAATTTAGCATAGAACACATTGTCTAAATGATAAAACAGTGAAATTAAAACCCACTGAATATGCCTGAAATGGTAAATCAACGAAATTTAAACCCAGTGAAAATTAGTCATTTTACAGTAGTATTATCCACCACAGCTAGTTAAGTTTATTTATCTTTCGTAGATAACGCTTTTATTGGCCTACTGGTTATGTAAATACAGTAATGACAACTTCGTGGAAATTAAAAACTTTGATTTATATTTTAAAAAAAAAATATTTCATGATAAATAATATGATCTACTTGATTCTCTGCGATTTATAATCTATACCTACAGTAGTATAGCCTGTTTTCAATCTTTGACTTATACATGTATAAGTATTCTATTGGAGATACAATGGAAGCTCTTAACTGGAAAACTACAATCTACACATAAGGAATCAGAATGTTGCCGTTACATTTGTGCATTTTAAAATAGTTTGAAATTCTTTTGTTAGTTTTGACCCAAATGGATATCACTTCCCATTTGTCACAGGTCTTCTATCAAAATTGTTGATCTACATTCACAGGTTTAGTCATGATTATTCGAATAACATCGCTTATTCATGTGACCTTATTATTTGACCATGAACTTTCAAACGGGATACATCACCCATTAATTGAGAGAATATTTCATGATAACCTGTATATGGTCAATGTCAAAGTCAATGTCAAGTACATGGGGCTGACACACTTAGGGTTAATACATTTATCTATTGAAAATTGCAATCATATCATTGATCCATAGGTCAATGTCAGCATGTTTCTGCTTTATCAGCCAAATGAAATAGCTCTGCTACAGAAACATTGTGATAACCAAATCACATAATGCATGCCTATAAGACAAAATGTGGTTAACCACCCAACAAAAGTGTTTTGGTTTGGTAACAAAGTTACTCTTACAATGAAAAAAATTAATTTTGTAATATTACATTCAATAAAATTTATATAAAACATCTATATTTACAGATTTAACAACAAATATTGTTTCACACTTTAAGAATTGATAAACTCACGATAACTAATAATGAGACTCATGACTACACATTTTAAGAGGGTAAATATTGATCTACTGAGAATATTATTCTGCTGTGTATTCAAAAGCGCCAGCAATGATATGGCTCATATTTCCAAATCTTTTGTTTTTAACTAACCTCGTGCTGACCTTCAAAATTTTATTTTGAATTTCAATCAAAATTAGAGCACATTATTATAGAATATTATAGAGAGCACTCTCAAAATACACTAACATGAGTCGCCATGGTTACCTTAAATCAGTACTTTCTTAATTCTTGAATATTTTTCCTATTGAAATTTATTGATTTTTATCCAAATTGACAGAATCTTCAACTGCCTACAAGTCCTAAACAAAATTTTCAAAAAAACAACGAAAATGTTGAGATTGGAGCTCAATTGAATGAACAGACACAAAGAAATGTACAACAGCTATGAATTACTGATGTTTACAGATACACAGACAAGAAATATTATTTACAACAGATATGTAAATGTAAACATGTGTAAACTACTATAATTTCATGAAAAAAAAACACTACAAATATATAATTTTTGTAGTTTTTAACTTGGCAAAATATAATAATTGTTGTACTCATAAATATTTTCTCCTTTAATTAGTTAGTGTGCTATCTCTGGGAAATAATATACATACAGACAGAAACACATTTAGCTGTGTTCTGCTAATTAAGGTTGAAAATAACTCCAGATTATGTTTGTTTGTTTGTTTGTTTGTTTGTATGGAACTAAAGTTATAGGCCCATGTTCTGACACATCTGTGTCTGGTGGGGCTAAAAACCTGTTGTAGTTGTTTGTGGTTGTGGTTTTGATGTGGGTATTAGTCACAACTTGCTTTCCATCTGGCGTCATTCGTAAAGATATACAAATGCTCTATGAAGTTCAGCCATCATATCAGTAGTTGTCATCTGCCTACCCATTTGTGCAAATGCTTGTTTTGCACACTGTCTTGTCAGCAAACATGCCCCATATGCAGCACATATATTAGGACCATACGTCTGTAGCATTGTGCTGCGAATATTAAGTAAATATAAATATAAATACATACAGTAAAAAAAATTTCATTATATAAATCCTACCATATATATGTACTGGGGTAAAGTAAAGTAAAGATTGTCCTTTTATTGTTACAGTAATTCAAGTGTCACTGGCTTGAAATTGCACATTATTATACATCCAAAACCGAAAACAATAGAATTCACATGTCCTTAAAAGTCATGAGTGCTACAGAGATATTTTTTATTGGGAAAATGTGCATCACATTTACGTCACATTTTCTTTGTTTCATCAGATGCAGCAAACAATGTAGCACACAACTGAAATATAGTCACATCACTGAACACAAACAATGGCATAGGCATGAATACTTTTCAAAAAATTCAAAGTACTCAATATCTTTGATATGTACAAATACGAACTTGCTACTAAATATGTAAATGATTCCCTACCCCCAGTCTTCCATGATATATTTACCAAGCACTCACAGTGTCATTTATATGACACAAGAAATAAAAATAAATTTAAACTTCCTAAACTGAGCAAAATGTATATTATTCTCAGGTCCACAACTTTGGAATGAAATTGAGAACACAGTGAAAGACCTGCGCAGTGTTGAGAGATTTAAAGCTGCATTTAAAACATAACTGTTAAACCAATACTCTTAAATCAATGAATTGATTCATACTGTTAGAATATAGATTTTGTTATTCAGGACTATTAGTTTTGTATTACTTTATTTTCACAGGGGAATCTAGTTGACAGGGGCAATGTTGCTCTTTTTGATTTCCCCCACTCTGTATTTAGTTTGTTAAACTCATGTAAAGATGTATTATTTATTGTATTATTACGAGTGGAAGTAAATTACTTTACTTTAATTTGCTGGCCTTTCATGCTGTTATATTCAAAAGTTTTACAATAATAAGAATATCATTAGAATATACCGCAAAGTAAACACTCAGGCAGTTACAGGATTGCATCAACCTAGGCATTGGTCAATATGATTATCAAACTAGAACTGCCTTTCAGTTTATCTAAAATGTTGATTGAATGTTGATGGCCTTAGTTTAATTGTTGTCCTGTCTTTGCAAAGACGTTTCATATTAGATGATCTCATTAGTGATAAGAATCAGCCTTACTTTTGAACTTGAGATTCCTTGGAAAATACCATATTTGCCCAGCATGTAAAGGTTCCCATGGTTCCTGACAGAATATCGCCCTGACCACCGCATCGCCGTGGACTTCCCTCACCACAACACACTAGTACTGTTAACGTAAAGATAAACAATGATTTGTAAACACGGAAGCAATATGATTGAAAGCTGGTTTTGAAATAGTTTAGAATATTTCCTATTCAAGCTGGTCAGTTCTTTATAGAGTTTTCGCGATCAGACAAAAAAGTAACTATTACACATAAATGAATAACAAAATGGTAATACTTAAAAATAAACAAAATTAAAGCTGTGAGTGATCAATTATAATGAGAACAAGACTGCAGTCAACTCACAGGTTTTGAAAATGTTTGTTACATTTGATTTCGAGGTAAAGTCGCTGCTATGATAATATGATGAGCAAAATACTGAATTTTGCACCATGTAAGTGAACCAATTTATTTCTAATCTAATCATAGAAGCTACAAGTCAAACTTCACCAATGTGGTAAACAAATCATTAAAAGTTGGAATTTTTTGCCCGCGCTTTTATATATCATTGTGGTCAAACAAGAGGACTAATGCAAATTTTTTAATTTTTTGCATGAGGGCTGTGGTCATAGATGATTACAAACCAGAATTCCAACCAGGTATTATCCCAGACCATCTATTAAGTAAGTTTCCTTTAAATATGTTTTCGATATATGTGTGGAACATATATCAGGTTTGCAGGTTTTCCAAAAGCATCTATGTACATTGAAACTTGATGAGTGGCCGGGACTTGCTGAATCAGTAGACAGAGCAAATATTGCATCTTATTCTTTTTCATAAAGTCCTTGCATACCTGTCATTTATATGGATGCCAGTAACTTGATGTTCTAACACTTACTTTTATTGCCATCTGCAATGATGTCATTCAGACCTTTCCTAACAATTGTAACATTTCCTAGAGCACGTGCCAACACCATGACATCGTGAATTGGCTCATCTGGATTAGGATCCTCCCCGACCTGGAAAAATAAAACTTTGATTGGTGCATAAACATACTATTCAAGCACTGCTTAATATTGTAGCAGTGGACAATACGAACATGGGTCTTTAAGAAGGAAAGTTACGTACAGTGGACATTAAATTTAGAATCTCTTAAACTGGGAGTCAGTGACGTTTACAAAATTCTATAAACCAGCAAATCATGAATATGAACAATCCAGTGACAACCCAAAATAAAACTCATAAATCATCGCCTAATGGCGATAAACAACACTACTTACCACATTTTGGAAAAGATGTTTGAATTCTACCACGTTTGGTGTTAAGATGGCCTTGTTATAATTTTTAATCATATCAGGATCTTGGGATACAAAGAATACACCATCCTATGGAAAAAACATAGTGGAACTATTGCCCTTGTAGACTATAAATTACAATACACGATTCTAACTTGATGGAAATCTCATTATTTTAGTTATTGATTGGTGAGCATATACCACATGCATCTGACTTAGCACCATTGCTCAACTAAGTGCCCATTCTTTTAAAAATTACGCAAATTTGTTTGTCTAGTTGGACGAGTATAATAAGTATGTACTATTAATCCCACATGGTAAGGGATCACCAATGTATCACGTACATACTTACTGCATCAATCACTAATGGCATATCAAGATCTCTGCATTTATTAATTATGCTCTGAAAAAAGAAATAAATGAAATTATTAATAGTTATTATGCAGTGTATTCCCATCATTTTGTAGTCTTCAGCCTACCTTAGTAGGAAATGCAAATAAGAAAAAAAATTAAGCAATATTTCCAACATAGAAAATGTGTAAAAAAAAAACAATGCAAATATTCTCCGCTATTTTTCTTCACCTTGACCAGTGTAAAGATGTCTTATAATAATAAGTTTATTATGATATGACATAATTTTGAGAATTAGGCAGAACAGAATAAAACTGTTTGTTTGTTTGTTGTTTATTTGTTTACTTTTACCAATAGTTGCAATCATTACCTTGATTGTTGGTAACAATGAGTCATCTCTTCCAAGTCCTGGACCAATAATTGTAGCATGGAATTTATTCAACATACTAGTAATCTGTTCTAAGCCATTACTAGTATTACTAAATAAAACAAAGCATATACAAAGTCTGGTGAGAATTTGAAAGGGTGCAGTTCCAAGGAATCATACCAAAACAGTCAATTAAGCAATAACCCTGATATACCACAAGATACCATATACTACAAGATATTGAAAAATTCATGACATACATGCAGGAACCATAGGTGAGTAGATATGTGAAGTGAATTGTGCAATACAAAGTAGTAGTATATTATCATAATAAACCTATTTTTAGAAAATATCAGTTACCTAAAGAGCATTTTATGCACCACTACATTACACAGGCTTAGTGAACTTGTTGACAGCATTGATGCTCATTAGAGCAAACCAGTGTAGATGACTGACTATTATTGGCGATCCGCTCCGCTAGGATTGCCCTTATAATCACTTTTGTCGTTTTGTGTGTGTGTGTGTGTCTGTGTGTGTACATTTCCAGTGTTCCAGTGTTCACGTATTATTTCTTCTGTGATTTTTTTGGCTTGGCCGATTTCGTTCAAACTTGGCAGGTAGGTCACACCTTAACCCTAGTTATAAGGAAAAATCTGGAAAATTTTTTTGGCCCACCGTTGCCATAGCAACAGCCAAAAAACTGATTTTTGGATAGCTTCGCGCCAAATGTATCTCCTCCTACAAATTTGGGATAAAATACTTCAAACATAGCTCATTCTACTCAGCTTGAGTGTGGGCACAAAGTTACCATTTGAATTTTTGATATCTGTTTTCATTACTGAGAAATTTGACCCCAAAGTTGGGGTAACTTTTCACCAGCAACGGCTCGGCTGGTTTTGTTCATACTTCACAGGTAGGTCGTGCCGTCACTAATTGGAAAAAAATCCTGGCCCACCACTGCCATTGCAACATCCAAAAACTGATTTTTGAATACTTTCGCCCCAAATGTATTACC